AGTAAAGCTGTAAAAGGGGACCAAAGCTGTAGAGTGGAAAACCCTGTTTTTGTTGTTCACATGCTTTGCTGCATTAATGTTTGGCTTTCGGTGCTTACATTGTGTTGATTAGTTGTTAGGCAAAGTCCCTGGTGAAAGTTTGTGAGGCATTTATTGTAGCTCGCGTTTCATACCGTGCTTAGCAAGAGACATTCCTGCTAAATGTCTGCCCAGCCAACATCCCCCCCTCTGCCCCAGGGAAGGGAAGGAATCCTGGATTGTTCCCCTACACTGATTCTAAATGCAAAGAGCACACACACTGTGCTGTTACCTCCACCAGGGGGGAGGCACTGGGGCAGCAGAGGTGAGTTTTGAAATGTGACACTTTGGCATGAGGGGTGTGCCTCGGGCAGCCCTCACTGGAAATGCCAAGGTCTCAGGCAGGCTGCAAAAGGGAGAGCAGATACTCCCAAGACTGGTGGGTAACACTGAAGTTAAACTCCCCAACCAGTCACAGACTGTGCTTCTGATCCCCCACACTGGTTATCAAGAAGCAAAAAAGAAATCCCACAGCCTCCTTTATTGCATTCCAGTGCTCTGGCTCCCAATCAGCACGTAGGTCCAGTACAGTGAGAAGCTATTTAAAAAACTCTGCTCATATATACAAAATGTTCTTCTGACCCCAAAGGGTCAGCCCCGTTACCAGGTCAGTATAGATTTGGATCTTACCCCGAATACCGCACTGCCAGCCAATCCTTTCGTGACTAAATCTAAAGGTTGATTGTAAAGAAAGAACAAGAAGAGAGTTGTTAAATGGTAAAGCAATCAAATGCATACAAAGATTCAAAGTCCATGTAACAGATTCTTAGCAGTATTGGTGAGTTTTCTGGCTTGCAAGTCCCTCTGGAACACATCCACAGTTTGGATGGGTCATTCAGTTCTTTTGTTCAGAGCTTCAGTTTGTAGCAAAGTTCCTCCAGAAGTAAGAAGCAGGACTGAAGACAAAATGGGGTTTGGGGAGGATGCAGCTGCCATTTATAGTCTTTTGCCATGCAGCTTGTACTTCCTTTGTTCCAAACACAAGCTGCCCAGCACAGGGCCTGGAGCCTTAGAGTTCTGCCCACAGGCATGCCCCTGCATGCCTTGCTGAGTCATAGGGTGTATCCCCTGACCCTTTCAATGGGTTCATTGTACAGTTGATGTCCCTTGTTCGGCCATCGAATAGGTTCAGTGCTGATGCCATTCTGTCTGGGGGTGACACCCAGAGATACAGCACAAGTTTGGAAATACAGACATACCCTATGTATCTATAACTCTTAATACAAAGGTGATACAAACATATAAACAAGATGATCATACTTGGCAAATTATAACATTTTTGCAGATACCTCACACAGCATATCTGGTCAGATTCCTTGCCATTTTATAATATTGGTATCCACAATATCACCAAGTGTCTCCGATATTCCATACAGCATCACAGAGGGGAGAGAGGATCTGGTGGGAATCCATGGACAACATGGTATAAGTAAGATTAAAGGAAGAGTAGAGAACAGATGGGTAAAGAGAGGGAGGAAAGAGGTACAGGAATCTTCCATACAGAACTTTTGAAGTGTCCTCAGCCTGCAAATCCTAGGAATAGCCGTGCCAGGGTCTTCCTCTGGGGAGCATATGTTCTCACTAATCTGATTTCATTTCTTTGATTTGTAATACCAAGGAAAGGAGTGCTTATTCTGAGCTAGGTAGGTGCCTGGGACCTAATATTCAAAAAGACAACAAAAAAAGCAACCCCAACCAGTTGACAACCAACCAGCAGTGCCCAAATCTATGGCATTCTGCAATACCCAAATCAATAGTACCCACAATTACCAGTTCTTACCATGCCCCTCATTGCCCCAAAAATCTATGTAAAAGGATGTACGTATCTTTCCCACCACCTCTCTGTGGCTTGCAATTTCCTCTTGCTTTTAGATTTTTAGTGAAATTACCATGACCTATGTGTGGGTGAGTGAATAGGGGTGAGGTGCGGGGGAGGGGAGAGAGTGAGAGATTGCTGGGATGAGAGAGCAAAGTAGAGTATTATGTGTGTGAGAGATTTTGGCAGGAACAAGGAAAATACGGGGGGAAAGGGAATATGACAGAGGAAGTGGAAGATGCAATGTAGGGAAAGAAATAGGGAGATATCCAATTGGGTAGAGAGAGAGAGGTAACAGAACTGAGGACAACTCAGGAAAAGAGGCACCGTTGTTGTTAGAATTTTTGATGAAACTGACATTTGAATTAAAACAAAAATCAGAAAAAGGTTTTAAAAAATTGTTGCCAAAATTGTTTTCTGACCAGCTCTTACTCATCGCAGTTGACTGATTGGTCCTTCTCAAGGGCCCAGAAGTGAGCTAGATGACTCACAAACAAGACATGCCCCTGAAAATCATACAAACTTAAGTTTCATATGGCACAACAATGGAGGATCACAAAAAGAGAAGATGAAAGGAAGGAAAAGAGAGGACCATAGAGATCATATGGCACATAAGATGTGCACATCATCATTATTTATTTATTTATTTATTTATTTATTTATTATTAATAAACATGTATATTATAGTATCATCTGAGGCCAACCAGGCCATAGATCCATTGTGGTAGGTGCTGTGCAGATAGATAGAAAATGATAGTCCCCGCTCCAATGAGCTTATGTTTTTAAAAGATGAGACGTAACAGGTGGATGAGGCAAACAAACAGATGGAGGTTACAAAAATAGCAGGAGGTGCGTATAATAAATAGGATGGTTGATGGTGGTTCTTTTCCTTTTCTAAAAACAATTCTTGGTTGGGTTATTGGCCTGATCCAATACCCACTGAAGGTAATAGAAGGACTCCCATTGACTTCAGTGGGCTTTGGCTCTGGTGTGTATCCTCCCTTCTCTTCTGTTAGTAGAAATTAAAAACTGGGGTAACTGCATGTAGACGAGCCCTCAGGAAGGTAGATCTGGTTGAATAGTACTTGAGAAATATATTATTCCATTTATTTCACCAGTATTTGACTCATAATTTATTTGACCAGTACTTTTTGAGGGGTAGTATTCAACCAGCTGTATCACTAATCAGACATTTTTAGTACATATGTTATTAGTTGGCCCCAGTTGAAATTAATCAAAGATCTAATTAGTAGCAAGTTCAATTTTTAAAATATCTGTTCACTAGGAAGTTGATTAACAATATGTGACAAGTAAATAAACTACAGAACAAGCAACTGTTTTGCTCCTTTACATTTCAGTTGGCATGATAACACAAGTATTTTTCACTCTGCCCCGTGGGATTGGTCATTAGGCTGATAAGGTGTCCAGTAAATTTGTCAAGCCTTATATGATTTAGTGATTGGTAGCTCTAGTCTAAATATAGTCACCATGATGGTGATAAAATGTGCAGTAAAGATACTTAGATGGGGTGGCTGAATAGCAGCATTTTGGGGATTGGGAATTTGTTGTGGAATTTGATATTTTATGGCTGAGACAGTATGTTTTAAATAGTTTTTCTGGTTTACTTTCTTTCATTATTTTATATAAAACAAAGAGGAAGTGAAATAATTGGGCCAGACCTGCAGCTTCTGTAAATCAGCATAGCTATATTGAAGCTACATTGATTTACACCATCTGAGGATCTGACCAAGTGTAGTGTGAATGTGTGTGTCTGTCTTTCTAAGGCCTTGCCTACATGACAGGGGGAGATCGAACTAAGTTATGCAACTTCAGCTACTGAATACAGCTGAATAACGTAGCTGAAGTCGACGTACTGAGATCTACTCACCACGGGATCCACACTACGCAATGTCAACTGGAGAGGCTCTCCTGTTGACTCCCCTTGCGCTTCTCGTTCAGGTAGAGTAGAGGAGTCGATAGGAGAACGATCTGCGGTCGATTTAGCGGGTCTTCACTAGACCCGCTAAATCGACTGCCGATTCATCAATCACCACACCTCAAACCCTGGTAAGTGTAGACAAGGCCTAAGAGGCAAGACAGGAACTCTCTAGACTGGAGAGACTCCTTGCTTGCCCAGGAAGTTCCTAGAACAGTTTTTACTCCTCCCGTTTCTAAGCTCCTTTTGCAGGTTAGGTCGATGGAGGATATAAACTGAACCTGGCTTTTCCTATTGCTGGCAACTGTTGTTTTTTGTCAGACATTTATAACACATCATATGGTGCAAGTGTAATATGGTTTGATGGCTGCTTACGGTTTCACTCCAGTGTCCAGTTGTACAGTTGCTTCAAGCAAGATGGCACCTGCAGTGATTGTCGTTGGGGCGGCATCTACGACATATAGCGTTGCTTAGATCATAGCACTGCAAGCGCTAGCCTCATTCCTTAGTAATCTGATGTGGGCCCTGTATCAGTATGTTCACTTTCTGATGTGAAAGAGTTAATGCACTGATAACTCTGGTCTCTGGTGAGATGAAATCGCTTTTAATATCTGTACTCTTTGTTTTCCAGTCCTTAGACTAGCACCAAATTTTGATCAGAGTAGTTTATTATGAGTATCAGTGTATTTAAGAGACCGAATGACTCAGGGGATTTGGATTTGGTAATAGGATTTTGAGTATTTAGCACCTTAGGTCACTTGTTCAACTTCAGGTCAGGCTGCTGGTGCTAGCCCATGAATTGAGGTTACTCTCTGAAGTCAGGTGACCTGTGTGAAATAAATTGATGGTCCCAGGAGTCCACCTACAAATCCCTCATTAAATTAGCACCGTGGTTGACAGTGACAGAAAGGAGTGCCAAGGAATTAATTGGCCATTGAGACTGAACCATTCAGGTGGGAACTACATATTTGAATGACCCACTTTGTTGGGACAGTATGGGGAAAGCTCATGCTGCTACCAAGCAGTGTCTGTTATGTGACAACTTCAGAGCAGCATCATATACATTAAAAAGCAACAAAAGGGAGATAGGCGGGGCCTATCAATGAATAATAATAAGATGGTGTATCACTTCCTTATTGATTCCTTATCGCCCTGTTTATTTTTCTTTAGGCAGGTGACAAGCATTATCATCCGAGCTGTGCACGATGCAGCAGATGCAACCAAATGTTCACGGAAGGAGAAGAAATGTACCTGCAAGGTAAGGATGCCTTCATTCCCCAGCTGTGCCAGAAACAGGCTTAGGCGCAGACAGCCATCCAGGAAGTAGCATATCATCAGTGATCCTCTAGCAGCTCTGTTGATGTCTGGTAGGACACTCACTTGCCAGTCAGGAGATGTCCATTTTCATTTTTCCCCTCTCAGTCATTCGAAGACATCCGCTGAGATCTTAGGCAACTGGGATTACAGCTGCCTCGTCATCATTGATGTTCTCTGAGGGATAGATCTCACCATTCTGGTGAACATTTCATATTAGGGTGCCCTAACAATTACCCTGCAGTCACTCCAAACTGTGGTTGCCCCAAATTGTGCTTTTAAAATGTATAGCCACAGGTAAATGTTATTGGTCAGCCCTTGAACTGTGGTGTTTTACATAATCTTTGGTGAACAAATATATGTGGGACACCAGAATGAATGAGAAATGGTTTTGAGCAACCATTTTTCTTGTTTTCCCCCTTAATTATTTTGACCCATATAGTCTCCTTCTCTTTTGGAACCTGATCCAAAGCCTGTTGAAATCAGTGGAAAGCCTTCCAGTAATTTTAATGGGCCTTAGTCCAAATTGTGTGTGTGTGTGTGTGTGTGTGTGTGTGTGTGTGATTTCTCCCCCTCCCACCCATACTTCTGTCTCTGAACCGCTGTCTCTTTCTTCATGTTTGTTTTTCTATCTGAATTCCCCTTTTGTCTTGTCATGTTGCTCTTTTATCCCCATCTACTTACTTGTATGTTTACGTGTTCTTCAGTCTTTTTTCACATCCACTTCTTTTTTTCTGTCCATTTTCATCTGAAATTTCACTGTGTTGTAACTAACACCGTAGGGGTCCAGATCCAAAAGGCGGTCAGGGTGGGAGGCTATTATAAGGGCATCATGGGATTGCTACCCTTATTTCTGCCCTGCGACTGGCAGGGTGCTGCCTTCAGAGCTGGGCAGCCGGAGAGGAAAGCTGCTGGCCGGGTGCCCAGCTCTAAAACCAGCGCCACTATCAGTAGCAGCGTAGAAATGAGGGTTGCATGGTATGGGGGGTACCATATGTCCGGTTGCCGGCAGTCTCCTGCTGGAGTGGGGGACTGACAGCTGGAGCTACAGCCTCCCCATGTCTGCTGGAGCCATGGAGCTTCCTGCAGCCGGGAGAGATCCCGGAGGTAGGTCTGACCCACCTTCCGAGTGCCCCTGCAAGGGAAGAGGAAGTCTCGTCCCTCCCCATCCCCAGTTGGGACGAGCGGCTGGAGCCCTGCACAGAGTAGGAGCCCCTGACTGCAAGCAGATTTCACGGGGGAGATCAGATTTCAGTCTGTGACGCGTTTTTCACGGCCGTGAATTCAGTAGGGCCCTAGTGATGAGTTAGAAAACAAAGGGTGACACGAGGGTCTGAACAATATGAACAAGTGAAAAGTAAATGGATTTGTTCAACCAAGAATCAGTGGTGATGTCTGTCATGCTGTCTGGAGTGGTTCATAACCGTGAGTGCCAGCCTCCCGGCAGACTGTCAAAAAGCAGGGCAGAGCCTCCAAACTGGTTGTAAGTCCTGTAATTAGATTTTGCTAACCCAGTACTAAATGTGAACTCCTGATGCACTATAACCGTCTTACCATGGGGTCACAGAGAGTCCCCTTGGGCATTCCAGTCAATCTCGCTACCCAAGCAGGCTAGACTTAATGATAGTTGGTTGCCATACACCAAAGATCACAAAAGATTCAGGTTGCTTTCAAACCCAAAAGACCAGTCACTTACCCCAAGTCAATTTGTTCCTCCGATCTCTCACTAAAGACAACGCTTATAGCCACTCCTATAGTAAACTAAGGATTTATTAACTAAGAAAAGAAATGAGTTATTTACAGACTAAAGCCGGCAAACATATATACACATATGAGTTAGTCTGTGGTTCCCAAAGATGACAGATTTATAGTAATCGGTCAGCGCTGAATGTCTTTTAGGGTTAACCCAGGTTGACCCTGGGGATCTCTACTTCTGTTTCCTAGCTCCAGCAAAGAGAGAGAATTTTTTCTTGTGTCCCTGTTTTATCCCCTTCTTCCAGCATTCAACGGATGGGCTTTCTTGCATGTAGCACCTTCAGCGGTGTGAGAGGGCCATTAACCAAGTCTTTGTATCATGATGTTCCACAATGGCCAATTTAGCTTTCATAACCTGTCTTGATGAGTGGTGGACCGTTCCTCCTGACTGGTTTCACAGGTTCAGAGCTAGCGTTTTTACAGTTATAAAGCAAAACGTACATATACACCTTATTGCATGGGATGCAGACATTGCAAGTGAAATTAATGCATGCAGCAACTTACAAGCATTCCATAGACTTTAGACACTAATCCCATTCTGATAAGTCTAGTATCTGTCTTGAACAATACTAACGTACAGGTGAGCTGGTCTGGTTTCCAGTTATAAATTTGTCAGGGCTCAGCTGATGCCTACAGCCTTGGCAAGAGCTGGCACCTGGTCTGCCAGTGTCACAATGTCAATGGTAGGAAGGGCTGAACTGGTGTAATTTGCACCAGTCTGGCATGCAGTGAATGGGGAAGCATACACTGATTGGGGATTCCTTGGTGACCCAGTCTAGCCCTTGGTATAAATGCAACTCCTAAAATAGAGTCACAGAGTTTAAGGGCAGAGGGGGCCACTGGATCATCTAGTCTGACCTCCTGTATATCACAGACCACCAACATTACTGAGCACACTAAAGCCAATGAGAACTGTACCCACATACACCTTGGTGATAAATTTAGCCCAGGGGGATGGTGCAGGAGAGGCGTCTGGCTCCTTCATCTCTTCATTTCTTTCACGCTATGTCCCTGCCTTCACCTCCCTGCCCCTTGGACGCAAGTTACTCTTTTTTCCTCCACCTAATGGCAAATCAGTGCAAGTTACACTACTTTGCTGCTTACAGCTGTTTTCTTACCAACTTACTGCACTGATTGTATCATCAGGCTCTTCAGGAAGAATTTTACCTGCTTGCTGCAGGCTGCATTTGATTTGTTGGATCTAAGTACAGTGTACCTGAAAGTCTTTCCCATGGTGAAAGTCCCTCTTAGCTTCAGCTCATAGGAATATGGTGAAGCCATCAATATAGGTTCCCGCAGGGGAACCAGTTCCCCCTGCACCGAATGGAGCAGTAGTAGCTTCCCAAGCATTTTGCTGCAGAGGGAACAATTGCGTATCGTAAAATGAGTGAAAGCAGGAAGCTCCCTCCTTTCATAATTACCATCTCCACTGGGCATTGTCTGTGTCTGCATCTCATTCCTCCATTGCTCTCTGTGTAAGAACACGAATGCAATCCTTGCCCTGCGGTGAGTTTTGGGGCCAGGATTTCATCCAGTGTCTTTATTGATGGCTACTTGAATGTTACATCTAATGAAAACAAAGGAAACCTGCAAAAAGAACAGTGTGTGTTGAAACAAACTAACCCACCTGTGTTTTCCAGGCTCAAATTACCTTTCTATAATAATGGGAGAGAGTCTGTGGGTTTGCTTGGGGAAATAAGAAATAGCACCAAAATTTTTCTTTCTCCCACATGTTTCCGTGTAACACATTTCTCTGTCTCACCCAGGGGATTGGTGCCAAGGTGAGACATTGCTTAGGGCTGGTCTACACTCTCTGAAAATCGCAGCTCAACTCCATGCCACTCTGCTTCCCCCCAGAAGCTGGGGAATTGCTCCCCCCCCCCCAATTCTGCCCAAGGAATGTTCACATCTAGAGGCCCCAGCTGAGATCAAGGCCCCATTGTGCTACATGCCGAACACACATAGTCAGACCCAGCCCTTGCCCCAGAGAGTTTGCAGTGGGTAGCTGAAATGGAAGTATCTTAGTTCAACTTACCTGGCCAGCCTCACGGCGGCGAGTCAACTGCCGCGGCTCCCCTGTCGACGCTGCTTACTCCTCCTGCCGAGATAGAGTATGGGCGTCGATTCGCGGATCGATTTATCGCGTCTAGACGAGACGCGATAAATCGATCCCTGATAGATCAATTACTACCCGCCGATCCGGCGGATAGTATAGACGTACCCTTAATGTTTACAGCATGCCTGTTGTAGTTGGTTTTCATGGAGCCTTTCATGCTTTCCAGGCTTATTCTCTTAACCCGAGTTTGTATATTTCAGAGTTTGCTCTGTGTTGTAGTGCCGGTGCATGCAGAAAAAAAAGTTGGACAGCTGAACATTTTGTTTGGTGTCTGCCAAGGGAGCAAACAAACACATGATAATGGAGGGATTAACAGCAGTGTACTGTAGAGTTTCCAATAGAAAAGTAATTAAACTGAACTAGGATGGGTCTGGAAGTTTTACATAGCTCTGAGCTGTTTCAAAATAAATGAGCACATTTGGGTGGATAAAACCTAGAAGCCGTGGTTGGCTCGAAGTACGGGACTGCAAAATAGTCACATCTAACCTCATACGCACTTGATCTGAGTTTGGGTTTGAAGTTTGCTGTGTTTCAAACCTCTCATCGAGTTTGTGAACCGATATTGAGGTTGTTAGCCCAGCTCCTCTCTGAAAATCGCAGCTCAACTCCATGCCACTCTGCTTCCCCCCAGAAGCTGGGGAACTGCTCCCCCCCCCCAATTCTGCCCAAGGAATGTTCACATCTAGAGGCCCCAGCTGAGATCAAGGCCCCATTGTGCTACATGCCGAACACACATAGTCAGACCCAGCCCTTGCCCCAGAGAGTTTGCAGTGTAAATATTTAAGGCAAAGGGTGGGAGAAAGGAAGTCTTGCTAGCCCTGCTTTACAGAAGGGGAACTGAGTCCCAGAGAGAGGACGTGAATTTCCCCAGGGTCCCCCAGGGAGTCTGTGGCAGAGCTGGGAACTAAACCCGGCTCTCTTGAGTCCCATTTTAGAGCCTCGTGAACGTTCCTGTTCATCAGGCCTTTAAATGAACCTTCAAGGGCTGGTTTCCTTCCGACCTTTGCAGGGTTTGTACAGCCCTGGCTCTGAGGCTGGTGTTTCGGCACATGACATCTTTTGTTTTGCTTCCCCCCGTTCACTGAATGCTTCCCCTGCTGAACGAGCAGTTTCTTCTCCTTCCTTGGCTCAGACTCCAAGCTAGACATCTGATGCTGTGATTCAGAGTCCACGTGTTCCTTCCAGTCTCCTGTTGATGCTGTTTACATTGTGTGCTGCTGACAATTGGAATCACTCCTGATGGTTTGTGCTTCAGCACAAGAAAGGGACCTGTTGAAATAAAGGCTCCCCTCAGAGCTGCCCTGACCCGTACCTTTTAACTTGGCCTTTGTTGGGAAGGATCTCCTCTGCCTGCACGTGAGATAATATTCATGCTGAAATGCGTACTCCCCCCACCCACTGCAATCAGCTGTTTCACGTGCGCAGAAGGCTATGAAGGGGAGGGAAGAGGAGCAAGGGCATGCAAGGCTCAGGGAAGGGGTGGAGTGGGGGCAGGGCTTGGGCAGAGCAGGGGGCTGAGCAGTGAGCACCCCCCAGCACATTGGAAAGTTAGCATCTATAGCTCCAGCCCTGGAATCAGTGCCTAGGTAAGGAGCCACATATTAACCTCAGAAGAGCCGCATGCAGCTCCGGAGCCACAGGTTGGCCACCCCTGGATTAGGTGATGCTAGGAGTATAATACTCTGCACTTACTGAAGATAGTGCCTTCCATCCAAGATGCTCCAAGACACTTACAGGTGTTAATGAATTGAGCCTCACAGCACCACTGGGGGGTAATGAAGTATTGTTATCCCTTTTTAACTCAAGAAGTTAGCTGATTTGGGGGGTTTTGTGGATTGTTTCCACTAGGAGGAGAAATTGGTGATGGTCAGGTATTTCTCTGATACAATCCTGTTTGTTTACGAATTCCCGTTTCCCTGAATACAGGAGGAATCAAACAACTGGAGATAGTTTCTTTGCTCACGGTTCCAAGCCTCTTTCAGCCAGCACTATACCAAAAAGCTCTCTCTTTTTTAATCAAGGTCATGCCACCAGGGCTCCCTATCTGTGTCTGAGGCTTCTTTGCTCCTCTCTGTTTCTGCTCCTTCTCTCTCTCTCTCTCTCTCTCACTCTCACTCTCACACACACACACACACACACACACACACACACACACTCTCTCTCTCTCTCTCTCTCTCCCTCCACCAATCAATGCCAGTTTCAATCAGTATTATTACCTCCATTTTGCAAATGAGAGAAAAGGTGAAGGGACTTAGTGGGAAGGGTTTACCCATGACGGCATAGGAAGCTAGACATAGGACCCACTTCTCCTTCTCTCACCTCTGTGACCCAGCCACAAAACCAGCCTCCTTCCCTGACCCATAGCAACATGACTCTTCCAGCTGCAACATCTGATTCGAACAGATCCTAACCCTGCTGCACAGGATTGTGCGTGAGGTTTGATTCACTCATGTGAAAAGTACTTTGAGACCCTCGGATAGATGCCGCTGTAGGCGGGCGAAGTCTTTGTTTTTAATTCTGTTGCATTTCTCACATGCTGGGGTGGAATTTGTAGGTTATTCCCAGCACATTGCGATGCAACGAGGGGTCTATCCTAAATATTTTAATGTTCTCCTCTCTGTGACCCGAAGTCATCTGATTTACTCTGAGTAATGCATTATTTTATTCCAGGTTCCACTGTATGGCATCCCGACTGTAAGCAGTCCACTAAGGCAGAAGATAAGCTACGGGTAAGATAAACAAACAGGAGGTAGACACTAAGCTCAGTTACACTCCAGATAATTTGCACACACAGTAACTGATCTTTCTCCTTGACAGAAAGTGATTTCCCATCGTTTTTATTGCCCCACCATGACAATCCTGGTAGCAAGTACAGTGTTCTACTCCTGAGGTGCTGCTGCATGTCCTGTGTTCACCATCTCAATGTATGGGTTGCAATTTATTGTTCCAAAGACGGCATTGTCTCCAGGACAATGTTCACCTTACAGCGTGGTTCCAAAGAGGGAAAAATCTCAAGGGAGTAATGTGAACAAAGCAAATGCGTCAATGAATCTTTTTATTTTCGCACAGTCATGACATCTCTGTACCTTGTTTGTCAGCTGTGCTGTGTTCTTTAGAGCCATTTGCAGCATTACTCAGCATGGGCTGATCTTCCTTCACCATCTAAATGGACCTTTTAAACCTAATTTATTCTGTTTTGAATGCTAAGAAGAAATATGCTTAATGCTAGATGTGCCCCTCAATATTTAGGGCCACATTTTAAGCCAGCCTGAATCAAGACTTAACATTTGTGTGGCCAAACTTTTTGGATCAGATTCTTGATGACTTCAGTGGCGCTAAACTGATTTACGCCAGATGAGAACCTGGCTGTGTGTGTGAGAAGTGCCAACAGGCCTTTGTGGGTACTAATGGGTTAGTTCACCATGCAGTCGGTTACCCCATTTGTGTTTGAACGCGCCTGCTCATACGCAGAAATGAGAGAGTGCACACCTGTGAGCCTGGTGAATGTTTCTGGGCTCACATTTCAGAGGCTGCAGATGAAAAATGGGTGAAGAGGCACTTCGGTGAATGTATGTTGCACATCATGCTGTGTTCATGGTGTGCTCAGTTCGTAGTAGTTCTCTTCTTATGAAACATGATGCTGGCACACCACACTGGACAACATTCTCCTTAG